CTCCATCCAGAGTGAATCCTTCTGATTCCTTGGTTACCAAAAATAAAAACTGTGCTGTTGGAATTGAGTTTATTGGTCATTATCTTCCTGACCTATAGCCCTTCAGGAAAACCAGGAATGAAAGTATAAAAGGCTTATTTTTATCTAGGATTGGTCATTATCTTCCTGACCTATAGCTCTTCAGGAAAACCAGGAATGAAAGTATTAAAGGCTTATTTTTATCTAGTTGAAGTGGGAGAGGCAAAGGATGCTGAGCTGCCAAAAGAGAAGCAGCTCTTCTGCCCAGTCAGAGCCAGGACTGCCCTTTCAGAAAGGCCTCAGAGAGTCTCTGACAGAGGCCTTTGCAGACTGGGGAAAAATTTCCATGTACTCCACTGGCTTGTTATCTGCAATCTCATGATTGATGATCCTGGGGATCAAATGAGAGATTGCCCTTTCCCAGCAGAGCATCTCTGTGCTTAATCATCTGGAGGTAGACACCAGCATGTAAATCAGCTCACCTCTGCTGGCTTCCGGGGAGAGCTGATTGCATCAGCCAAGGACTTGGGCCCCTGCACTATCTTTGTGCATCTTCCGACCTTCCACTGGCATTCTAGGAGTTGGGAAGAGTTGGGCTAAATAGGGAATTGCTGCCCATTGGTTTAGCTTATAGAAATCTGCTGATGAGAGTGAGGTCCTGCACTGAACTTAGGATAACTTGACTTCTTCAGCAAACTCCTTTATCCTCTTGTGAATCCTTCAATGTTCTTGTCCTGCAAGTTGATTTTGGTCAGCTTTGTCTTCATGTAAGCAAACACGTTGCAGTGGAATGAGCTTGGAATGAAACTGAACTGGAAGATGAGTAAAATCTGACTATGTGAACGCTTCTGCAGGCTTTTATCTCCCATCAGGAAGCTGTGGGCTGAAGTTCTGGGGTGGTCCTTGGAGCACAGTGAGGCAGCCATGCAGAGAGCCTGGAATTGCCCTGAGCAAGATGAAGCTGGGAATGGTGTGGCTGTATCAGCACAGCACAAGGCAGCTCTGCCTCCGAAGTGTCTGCCTTCATTAGTGCTGCCAGACACTGCTCCTGCTGCAAGACTGGCAGTACTTATAGGCTGCTGTGGGCCATGGGGAAGGGTGTTGACACTTGGCATTGTGTGGCCATACCCGTTGGGATCAGTGGGAGCTCAGGGACTGTGCCTGCAATTCGCTGCCTGCTGCAGACATGTTCCTGCCATGTGGATCAGCTCTTCTAACAGGAGCTGTCTGCAAGAGAGATGTCTGGGGAGACATTCATACCTAAGTGTTGTAAATCAGTGCTGGTTTAGCTCTCAGAGGACAGCCTGTCTGGCCTCCAGCTGCTGCTCCTCACACAGAACACTTGGCTACCTGGCAATGTCCTCTTTCTCAGAGGGTCTGGGGCAGTGGTGGAAGCCAGTGTGGGCATAGTCTGTCACGGATGATGCAGTAATACCTGCTGTGTTTGCCAGGGGTCTTGTCCTGTTGGTGCCCAGGCCATGGTCACCCTGATGGACACCTTGGAGCCCCTTCCAGTGCCTAAAGGGGCTAGAAAAGAGCTGGAAGGGTCTTTGGACAAGGGCCTGGAGGGACAGAACAAGGGGGAATGGCTTCTCACTGCCAGAGGGCAGGGTTAGATGGGATATTGGGAAGGAATTCTTCCCTGTGAGGGTGGTGAGGCAATGGCACAAGTTGCCCAGAGAAGCTGTGGCTGCTCCATCCCTGGAAGGTTTCCCGATGAGGTTGGACAGGGCTTGGAGCAACCTGTTCTAGTGGAAGGTGTCCTGCCCATGGCAGGGGTGGAATGAGATGGTCTTTAATGACCTTTCCAATCCAAACCATTCCATGATTCCCATGCCTCACTGAGCACCATGTTGTACACAACTTCTGCCTGGGAGTGAAGGTCAGTGCAAGTGGGTTCAGCTGCAGAACAACAGCTTGGAGATCAAGACCTTTGTTGTCTGATTTTTCCCAGGCAAACCACGTTTAGAAGTGCCATGACAGAAAGCAGTTGAAGGGTGAAGCCTGCCATTTGCAGAGCGATAGGAGAGCATTTTTTTGTGGCAATGTCATTATCTTGAACTTTTGCAGCAAAGAAAAAAAAAGCAAGGTTTATCTCTAACTGTCTATCAAGAGAGCTGTATCTGATGAGAAGTTCCCAGAACATTTTCTCCTCCAACCCAGCTGAAGCTACACAGATGCAAGCAATGAAGAGAGAAAGATTCAGAGATGAGCTTGCCTCTCCTTCCTGTGAGCTCGGGCCATTCTGGGAGGAGTGAGACAGGGAGGTCAGGAAATTCCTGGCTTCTTTCAGTTCACGTCAGATCCTTAGCTGTATCTTGGGGCCATTCATCCCTTCCATGAGTTATCCCTGTCTAGTGCGCAGGAAACAGTTTCCTAGTGATCTCTGCATGCAGAGGTGAAGTCCATCACCCTGCAGATCCAGGGAGAGTTAACCCTTACACCCTCAGATTCCCTGGCAGCTCCTCCAGGGACTTCCGCAGGAAGACGTGGCGCTTCCGTGCTGGCTGCCGCTCCATGTGCTCATACCATGCATTGCTGAACCAGACCCTCTGGAGAAATCCACATAAATTAAGGTTGGACAGATCTAATATCCCACGAGGGCCTGCTGGGTAGCAGCCTAGTGGGCAGAAGGAGTGTCCATTGCCTTTCTCCTTGGTTACAATGCTGGAATCATACAGGGAAAGGCTTCTGGCTTTGGGAAGCATACTGGATCATGGTCCAGCAATCAGAACAGCTGGCACAGAGCAGTGTACAGTGTGACTGAGGGGTCTGAAAGAGGTTAGCAGGAGAGGGCTGGATCATTTTGTTTTCAACAGGTGTTTTTGAAGCATGTATTTTATACTCTGGAAAAATCTGTTCTTTGGCCTTTCAAAGCTATGAGACAGAGCAGGCCTGAGACTCCCAGTTTGTGACAAAGAAGTGGCATTGAATGTCAGAGGTTTAACACTGAGTTAAGGAAAAGGAAGAGCACTGGTGGCAGCAGCCAGTGATGTGCTGGCATGGCTTCCTGGGGACACGAACGTGGCAAGTTTCCACAGCAGCACCACAGTGAGGGTCTTTCATTCTCCACCTGCGTAAGTTGGCTTTCATGCTAACCAGCATGATTCTGCTCCACGGGCACAGATGGAGATCAGGATTCATTCCACTGATGTCAGTGCGATCGCGTTACTGGAAACTGATAGCAGCCAGTGCTCCTGCGTCAGGAGGGTAACCAGCGACCGCCTCCGCGCAGCCTCGGGCTGGCAGGGCACAGGGACCTCAGCACGTCCAGCCACCTGCTCCAGGCAGGTTTCTCAGGAGCTTGTCCACTCAGGTGGGGAATATCTCCAAAGGTGGAGACTGCATACCCTCCCTGTGTCAGTATTTGGCTGCCCGGACAGGAAGAAAAAAGTTTGTCCTTATGTTTGAGTGGAATTTCTTATATTTCTCTGGAAGTGCTCAAGGCCAGGTTGGGTGGGGCTTAGAGAAACCTGGGCTAGTGGAAGGTGTCCCTGCCCATGGCAGTGGGTGGAACGAGATGAGCTTTAAGGTTCCTTCCAACTCCAACCATCCTGATTCCATGATTGTGTGATCTCAGTTTGTGCCCATTTCCTCTCCTCCTTTTGCTGACACCATGATATGTCCTAGGAACCTTGACTTCAGCCATGCTTGGGGAGCACGGAGCAACCAGCTCTCAGTGAGCAGGTGGGAATTACTGCCCTCACCAGCCATGCCTTAGGTCTTAGGGGATTAATTTAAAGAGTCACTGGCTTGATTTTTGCAAGTGGCAAGAGTTTGCTGTGCTGTTGAGTCAGTGGTAGCTGCAGCTGAAGTCACAGGGTGCATCAGGCACTGGCTCGCTCTGATTAACCTCTCCAGTGATGACACACAAACTGGGTTGCCCTGACACCTGAGGGTCACTCTGCCTTATTTCAGCACTTAAATCTTGTCTCACAGTCCTTATTCTTCCAGCTTGCTCGATGGAACTGCACTTCTTTTGACATTCATGTGCTTCTGAATTTGTCAGGACAGTTACAAGGTACCAAACAAAACCCTCCATGTCCCAGACAAAGGGAACTCTTCTGAGGGCATAAAATTTGCCAAGTGCCAAACCTCAGCATGAGGCAGGCAAGGGACAAAGAGGGACACAGCCCAATGCTCTTGTGCAATTTTAGCTGTTCTGCATAGGATGCTTTGGGAAGCAAAACACGTTAGGAGAGCTGTAAATTTGCTTCGATTTATGCTGGGAATTTTTGGCCGGAATACGTGGGGACACACTGGGGATTGCAAATTGCAGAGCACAAAACTAGGTCCTGATTGTGTCTATCTAAGAATAGCAGTGTGGCTGTGGTCTGCTCATTCCGTTGTGTCCACCAGTCTGCCTTGGGAAGGCTTTAATCTAAGCCTAATCTATTTTTAGCCTGATATCTTCTCCAGACAACATGCAGCTGTCCTGGGAGGTTTATGCCAGAAATTAGTAACACTTGTATGATTCACAAGTTAGCTGTAGTTCTACAGAAAAATTCCTGTGGCAAATTATTACTTTTTAACACATAGTTCAGTACTGTAAAACAGGAGATTGACACTCACTGTGTGTTCATGGTACGATCCAGACCCTGAACTCCACCTTGGACTCAGAGTCAGGAGGTCATGGATCTGCTCCTGCCTTTGATACTTGATCTGGACTTGTCCTGCCTGTCAGCCCCTTGCAAGGCACTGCATCTTGCCCTTCCTGCTTTTATAGCACCTGGCTCATCCCTGGAGCTGAAGTTGTGTAAGAGGCAAAGCAACCTTCACACAGCGCAAGCTCTCTCATCAGTTATTCAGGTCAAGCATCCCAGGACATGGGAAAAATTAGAATTAATGAACTTCCAGAGGCTTTGATTGTGTGTTTAGCCAATGGGAGGGATTTCCTGCTTCTCACCACACCGTTGAAGAGGTTTACTTTCTGGTTCAAGTCAAATAAACATGCATAGTATCTGACTTAATCCCATTTAGAGCAACCTTTCAGGGGAAGGAGCTGGAGTGTTTGGTTAAGGATGGGACTTGAATTTGGATTTGGGGTCTGTTCCTGGGTCTGAGTTCCTACATGAACTTGTAGCTGGGCAGGGACAGGCCAGAACGTGTTGCCTTTGGTGAAATACTTTGCACTGTTGACATCTGATTCATTCAAGGGATGAATAGTGCTTTTCTAGAGCCCTCGATGGCTTCCATGGATGTTTTCACTCTCCTCATCTCAGGTTCCTGCGAGGTGCTTGTGCTGCCTGTGGTAAAGGGCAGGAAAACTGGGGAGAGTTGGAGTGCAAGCAGCTGCTCATTGTCGCTATTTCTCCACCTCACAAGTATCCCCTCCATGCAGAAAATTCAGGGGGAATAGCAAAGGGGTAAAATCTTCCCTGAGGAGCTGTCTGGTCTGGGGAGGATCTGTTCCTCAATAGCGGAAATAAAAGCACCAGCTCTAGCTGATGCGGTTTAGGCTGAAATAGAAGGAGAGCTGCCTCATCCAGGTGACTGGGGCTGGGAGACTGGGAATCATCACCCTGCTTTGTTGTGTGGCCAGCAGGCCAGGGAACAAACCCTGCAGCTGTGTTAGCACTGCAGAGGTTTGGGATGCAGCGTTTCCTCCTCTGGGCCCTTTACTTCAGAAAAGAAAGCAGACAGGTTAAAACGATGCCAGGGAGAGGAAAGTAAATAGCTGCCTAACATGCCAGCTGGAGCAGCTGGATATCAGGTCAGGAGCTGTAACACAGACCCACTCATCACTCCGTCCTCAAACAGACACGCCTTGGGCAGTTGGAAGCTCTGTCAGCCTGAGTGTGCAGGATGAGGGAGAACCTGCCCTGCCCATTTTGGAACATTCTTGTTTTTCTCTGCTTTTAGGGAAAGGAAATTGTACTTTTGCATTAAGCAATATTGTGTTGCTCATAATGAAGAGGAGGGAAGAGGGGAAGCAAAACAATTTGGCACACAACAGAGAGGCGAAGTGAGGTTTTTTTTCAAGCTGTTTTGCTGTTAATCCCTAATCAGAGTTATTTCACACATTAGAAAGCTCATTGCTATGCAGAGATTGCTGAAGCCTCATCCCAAGGTCAGAGGGAAAGCAAGTCTTGGTGACGTGAGTGGGGAATTCTGTAATGACCACATTTTGTAATCTGGAGACTTTGTGCTCATCCCCAGGATGCACTCTGGAATAACTCTTGTTAACTCCTTGTGCTTATCCTGCTTCAGTTACCAGACTGGTGAAACTGGAGCGAGGTAGTCCTGGTTTGGAGCAGGAACTTGGTTAGCACTCCTTTCCCTCTCCTTTCACCCTACTGTCACCCAAATGAACTTTGTTTTGGAGGGAAGGTGGAGTGCTTTGCTGTGGTGTGTCCCTTCAGCTGAGCTCCAGTGAAAGGTCACATTTCCAGACTGTGTGCTTTGTCCCTTCTGGGTGGGCGACAGCACACGTTGCTCTCAACAGCCCCAGATTATTATTATAGAACTGCAAATATGTTATGTGATAATGAACAGAAGTGAGTTTGTCCCCTGGCACAGCCAACACTTCAGCTGTCGTTCTGGCTGTCCATCTCTCTGTGGCCTGTCTGAATGGCCTGTTCCATTGACTGACTCCTTCATAGTCTCACATATATATGTCTGTGTCTTTTAACCTTTTGGTTTCTAGGTCCAGAACATTTCTGGGGGAGGTTTGTGTCTTTCTAGAGGTAAGTTAAGCCTTTTGGAAAAAAGCTTGCTTGGCTTAGATACTTTTCACAGACTTACAGGTAGGTTTTGAAGTCTGAGATGGATCAGCTCTTGTTGAATTCACTGATGTACAGAGGGACTGTGTCTACTCCTGAAAGGCTGTGATCTCAAATTTAACATGAGTGTCCCTTCTTTTCCATGCCAGTGTCCTATCAGCTGTTATATTCCTCAAAGATCTCCTTGCTCCTGCTGTCTTCTGTCAGGAGTGGGGAGATGGGTCCTGTTCCCTGTGCCTCCAAACCCATTCTCTGTCCCTGAAGCCAAACCTGTTGCTTGCACAACTCCTGCAGTGCCAATTCTATCCAGTACTCCAGTTTTGATTCCTTGCGTAATTGCTTTTCTGGAGAACAGGATCACCTGAACAAACCCTGGAGGCTCCAGGCACGAACTTTGCAGATTTGGAAGCTGTCAGACTCCTGTAACAGGAGCCTGTGCCATGAGAGTGATTTCTGTTTCTGATGGCTCTTACAGATAAGCCACCTGAACCTTGCCTTCAGCCAGGAAGAGGTAATAGGACCCGGGAAGAAAAGGAAGGTCAGTGAACCAGAGAAGCCGCTTCTGAAGGGCAGGAAATTATGTCCATTCTGACACACAATACATTTTGGAAGGTGTGAGTTTGCATTGTCATCTGACTGGTGCAGACCTTTCCTCTCTCCCAGTGTTTAACCCTTCCATATCTCATGTGTATTTCTGCATGTTTGTTTGTCTTGTGAAAGTTTCAGATTGCAAAGGGACCACAAGCACCATAATTGTCAGGACAGTGTCAACCAGCAGCACTTGTTTGGTGTTCTAAAGTTGAGAATTTATGATTCCTTGTGAACAGTGTCTGTGTGGTTCTTTCTCCCTCTCTCCCTCACACCCCTTGCCCATCCCTGGCTAAATTCCCTTCTCTGGGGCTGGACTGTCCTGTGCCACTATGTCATCCATATTTAATGGCACTGTTTCAAGATGAACTCTGAGGGATTGATGCCAGCAAGCAACAAGTCTCATGATTCACAAGATTGTACTGTGCTTCATCCTATCTGCTGTTTCCGGAGCATAGATTTTTTTTTTCAAGAAAGGGTTTTATCTCTACTGAGTACAGAGATAAACCAATCTATACACATTTTCTGCTGGTGCTGGTTGGGTTTTTTTCTGTCTCTGTAAGTAGTGTTGCCATGACTGTATTATCAGTTTATTTCTAAACCTGCAACCCACCATGTGCCAAAGGGCTATAAATTGTGTTGCAGCACACCCTGTTTAAAACCAGCTTTAATAAAGATATCTTGTGGCTGCAAATCCAGGTAAGGAGAACAACATCTGGCAGGTAGCTGACCCGTAGTGTCTAGGGCATCTGATTGCAGGGCCTCAGCCACCCGTGCCACACCGCGTTCCCTGTCATCACTGATGCTGTGGTGTCACTACTGTGCCAGCACTAAGGCTGGCTGCAGACCTCGGGGCTCTTCCTCACAGCTGGAACAGTGCTCTTTCCTTGCCTGAAGCTACCAGGAGGTGGGATTGAGACCCTTCTGGTCTTACTCTGGTTGGCTGGAATGAGTTGAAAGCCAGACTGGCCCTGGCTGACTGAGCTGAGGTAATGCCCAAACTGAGCCCCCTCGAGGTGCTCAGTCTTCAGGTATCCCAATGATGCATTGTGATGCTAATGGTAATCCCACAGCTGTCCTCCCTCCACGGCCTGGCCCCGAGCCTGCAGCAGTGTCTGACAAGTTTCATGGCCTGATGCCTATTTCACAAAACCTGCAGCACATGGGAGTTCTCCATTTTATCCTCACTTTCACTCCCGTGCCCTCATTTTTGCACCTATGGCCTAATAAGCCAGTTTGTTCACATGCCAGAGCGAGCCAGAAACCTTCCCTCTGCCTGGGTTTTGTAACCATGTTTGCTGTCAGGCCTGTGCATCCACGAGTGACCTGTGTTCTGTGGGGACAGCTGCAGCTTGCTGTCACCTCATGGCTCTGCCCTGGCACTGCTGGGCTCTGTGCTGCCACACTCCCTCAGCCCCCTGGCTCCTGCCTGCACCCTGAGCTGTGTCATGTCTCTGTGTCCTTCACTGAGGTGAGAGTCAAGGATGGCTGTGATTTTGGCTGCTCCAGCAAGGTAGTCTTCAACACCATACCCAAGGCTTAGGGGCACAGTAGCCTGCCTGGTGCAGATTGGGAGATGCCAAGTGTCCTGTCCCCAGTGCAAGTGTAGTAATCTGCTTGACAGCCACCACAAAGTCAAGGCATGGCTTAGTTGCTGCAGGACTCCCTGGTCCTGTAGCCATGGCCAGGGCTCAGTGTCTGCTGCAGGACTCCCTGGTCCTGTAGCCACGGCCAGGGCTCAGTGTGGTTCACATTGGGTTCTAATCAGCTATTTTACGGTAATGACTTTCAGTCATTTTCATTTCAGGCTTGGTTAGAAATAAAGTAAGTGGTGATGAACTGCCGCAGTAAGCGTTTGATTTTTCTTTCCCACAAACTTGTGGTTACCATCAGATTCTAAGAAAAGTCTTTCCACTGCAGATTGGAATCATCTAAGCCACTTACACATATCCTTTTATTTATTAGTGATTCTGCTTGGCTAGCTAAAGGTGAAAAAAACCACCTTTTTCTTGTGTTTCACTCACATTTCTAGTTAATACTCATTAACTGACTTAATGTATGTTACACATCATCAACCTGATTCACTCCTGACATAAAACAGAAGCGATTCGTTAGTAACGGTCCCTTGCCAATTAGTGAACTGAATTACGTTTGAACAATTTTCTTCAAAGATTCTCCTCCTCCCCTCATGCACCATTTGGCAAGTCCCCTGCATGCTTACAGTAATTGTGTGCGTGCAGTGAAAGGAGACTGTTACCTCTTCAACCAAAATAAATGAGTATGTGATCCTGGTGCTAATGCAGGAGTGAGGAACACAAAGAATCACAGCCATCCCCTCTTTGATCGCCCAAAGATCCCAACAGCAATTAAGATTACAAGCTGCTTAAAAAAAACCCAGAATATTGGGAACATTCTTGAAGAGAAAGTGAATGCTCCCCAGGGTTTTTCAGAAAATCAGTGAAGAAGGGGAACCTGTTCTCATTTCTCACAGCCACAGGCTGGTTAATAGCTGTGGGGTGGATATCCTTAACCTGCCGAGTCACAGACAGGTTGGGGGCACTTCTAAAAATCCTTCCTTCTTTCTGGGGTGGCCTTTAACAAGTAGCTGCTCTGTTTCAAACTGAAAGTCAAACTGAAGTCAAACGGAAAATGCATCGTCTCAACCACATCCTTAAATGCCCTGTCCTCGACAAGAAACTAAGCCTAGTGCCCTGCACTGCTCAGTAAGCCATGGGCAGGTGGCAGCATTTGGTTTTCACCTGAAAACAGAGGATTCTTTTGGGATTTCCAGTGCTGTGGGCAACCTAGGAAGTTATCTGATCTGATTGCTGCTGCTGCTCTTTCAGTTTTGGTAGAGCTGCAGAGAGGAGAAACGAAACATGACACAGGAGCAGAAGAAACGAAGGTGATTTTGTGCTTAAAACAGGACAGTTAAGAGTTTTGCCATTGATTTCAGTGGAGCATGGAGGGGCTCTATCCATGGTGGTGAAGCAAAAATCACTGTAACGCTGTCCAAATGAGCTGAGTGATCACTTTTTCCCTCCAGTGGATTTCGGAAGTGACACCAGTGAAATACCTTGGCTGTACCTTGCTATAAAGGTGATTAGAGATCAGCTAATGCTTTCACGAGTGTAATTCTAATCATAAATCTTTTACCTGAGGGGCTGTTCCCTGAGATTACCATCTCAGGATTTTGGCTGGAACATTAATTTTTGTAGGTTCTGCATTCTTCCTCTTGAGTCAGCAGGTAAAGTATGTGGTTGTGGCCTGTGTTTGTCATGCCACAGGGCTGTCATTCTTGGGGGCCAAGGTCTTCATGCCAAAAGCATAATGTCACCCTGCTGGAATCCCACCCACGTGTGTCGCCAGGCAAAGTCTTTTCTGTTCATGGATGAGTAAAATTTTACCAGGCTTTTGTTTTCATCACGAGGTAAGTAAGAGGGATTTGCATCTGAGCTGGGGTATTTTCCATAATCAGTTTCCAAGGCTAATTTGAGTCTGGTTGGCACATAGATGTTTCCTTTGAGCTGAGATTCCGAAGCCTCAGAAGAGTTTTCCATAGGAAACACCACCCTGAGTATCCATGTGCCAGATGTGCCTGTATGGCATTTACCACAGCATCAATGACCTACTGCAGAATCGATTGGCTAATTGTGTGAATACCTCACTGGGGAGTTGGTTTGATGCTAGAAAAATAGGAATTAAAATGCACTGTGATCAGTATATTCAACACTCCCATCCCTGGAAGTGTCCAAGGCCAGATTGGACAGGGCTTGGAGCAACCTGGTCAAATGGAAAGTGTCCCTGCCCGTGACAGGGGTTGGCACTGGATGGTCTTTAATTCAAACTAACCCAAACCATTCTATGGTTCTATGATTTAACATCCTTCAGGAAGGCTCAAGGCCTGTTGCTGTTGTTTACAAGAAAACCTCCAGACCTGTCCTGGAGGGCTTTGAGCAAACACACACCAGAGGGAGAAGGGAGATGTGGTAGGCAGATATAAGGTACTGGTTTCTTTTCCAAGCATGTCATGTTATATTCTGTTCATGCTACTTGTGTTTCTCTACAGGACGTGCAGTGAGGGGATGTTTACTCTGATGAAAGTCTGGGCTTGATAACAGGAAACCAAGTCCTTTGTGCAGTAAATTGACCTTGAATCACACACAGACCTTTTTTCAGTAACAGAGGGTAAGACTGTGTAAAACACAGGAAAATGGTGTCTCTAGAAAACAAAGTGGCATTTGGAGTTGGCTAGAATGTGCCCAAGCCTTTGGCAGCCTCAGCCCCGTGAATGTCAGCCCGAGCAGGTGGTAGAGCACAGCACGGGTCAGGGCCTTGTCAGGAGAACTGGGGGCACAGTCGCTTTTTGTGCCTGAATACTTCTCCTTAGAAGTTCAGTCTAGCCAGTGCACTGAAGCTGTGTGTCCTCAGGGATGAGGCAGAGCTCTGGGATGTGGGAGGCCTCTCTGTGTGCCCCAGTGAGGCATGCAGTGGTCTGGGGAAGGACTCACTCCCTCCCACTCTTCCCCCCCATAGGGAGCTCTGGCCTTTGGGGCAGAAACCATCTCAGGAGCCCTTGCAGGAGCTGCTGTTACAGGGCTTTGATCTTGTTGGGTGTTTCTAGATGCTTCCACAGCATTAATAAAGAGCATCACAAGATGCAGCTCCATTAATAGCTAGTAATTCCAGAGTGAAGAAGCTCTTCTTACGGGCAAAAGCAGTTATATTTTTCCTCTGCTGTTCCACTCTGGCATCTGAAACCTTTGCCGAGCTCTTCTCACACAGCTCTCCAGGTCCCTAGAGCATGGTGTGGGCTAGAAGGGACCTTAAAGCTCATCCAGTCCCACCCCCTGCCATGGACAGGGACACCTTCCACTAGCCCAGGTGGCTCCAAACCCTGTCCAACCTGGCCTGGAACACTTCCAGGGATGGGGCAGGTACAGCTTCTTTGGGTAATGTGCCAGTGCCTCACCACCCTCACAGGGAGGAATTCCTTCCCAATAT